TTATCCCATTCCCGGGTTGTGCAAGAGACGGAAATTTCTCAATGGGAAGTACCAGATTTTTCTTGAAATTTACTTTTCACGCGAATAGAACGTTTAAAGCTTGGGGTAAGTCTCTTCAGTTACCATATGCTAATGAGGCAAAATTTTGACCAAATATGGTGTAATCTATCGTAAGTGACCACCTCCCTTAAGCAACCATCTAGGCTTGACATTTTAGGTGGTCGCTTACGGGAGGTTCGACTGTATTGCTNGCTAATGAGGCAAAATTTTGACCAAATATGGTGTAATCTATCGTAAGCGACCACCTCCCTTAAGCGACCATCTAGGCTTGACATTTTAGGTGGTCGCTTACGGGAGGTTCGACTGTATTGCTTTATAAACATGTATACAAGTATATGGTTAAGAAGACTACCGCGACTACTGAGAATAGCCCCAGCTAGTGGTCAGAACGAGACTTAAGCCTGCGATGTCCCGATTTTAGGCCCGCCGCCCTAACCATTCGGCTTGCCGTCTTTTCATACAATAATAATAACAACAACAACAATTAGAAATAATGATGATATTAATGATAATAATTTATACTGCGCAGGTTACATGAATATATGATCACATGCGCATTACAATAGTGAACTATGAAACAATTGAAAACTAAAAAGTATTAAAAATGTATAGACGTAAAAACTGCGATAAAGTAGATAAATATTGATAGATGCAAATAAATAGACAAATAAAACTAGTTATAATTTAATCAGAGTTATACAAACACTCTGTTTACGTCAAACTGAAACGTCCTCCTCACTTTAAAAAATATAGTGGTCTTTAAAAGATGGAAAAACAATGTTGATTCGCTTTCTTTTCTTTTTTCTTTCTTTCTTTCTTTCTTTCTTTTTTTTCATTTTAAAATGTCTTCCAATATTTCACTTCCAGAGAGAATACCACTTCAGGAGACGACAATGTCAACAAGCGTGCACAAGCTTGGAGCCCAGAAATGACTAATATGACAGAACACCAGGGAGCATCTGCTAAGTATGGAAAAACAATGTTGATTCTCTTTCTTTCTTTCTTTCTTCCTTCCTTCCTTCCTTCCTTCCTTCCTTCCTTCCTCCACATTTCCCAAAATTTTTACAGGGTTTATT